TTCACGCTTTTGCTATCGTCAGACAAACTGATTAATTTTTTTAAAATTTAAAATTTTTTAATAAAACCCAAAATTTAAAAAAAATTAATCAGTTTGTCTGACGATCGCAAAAGCGTGAAACCTAGGGTCACAAACTCACATCTATCCAACCATATATATATATATATATATATATATATATATATATATATATATATATATATGGTGAAAGCGTGAATTTGTAAACAGAATTTGTAACACTATTTACATTATTCGGACTATTGTCCTCATCTTTTGTGTGTGTATATATATATATAGAGAGAGAGAGAGAGAGAAAGAGAGAGAGAAAGAGAGAGAGAGATAGATAAGATAAGTTTTGTAGTGTGTTCGAAGAATACACGCACACACACAAACACACACATATATATATATATATATATATATATATATATATATATATATATATATATATATATATAATTCTATCATTAAGAATATTACTTTAATTTGATGACATTTTTTAGAAGACGAAACATTATATAGAAATCTATTATTCATTTCACTCACATTTTTCCGGATATATAGAAATTTAGATATCATATCCTCCCATATATATGTACTAGCGAGGATACCCGGCGCCGCTTGGAAGATGTCTGAATAATAGTTTATTAGTCACAATTTATTGATATTTTTTTAGCCATCTTATGGAATTTTATTCGATCACTAAACAATAAGCTTCATTGTTTTTTTTTTGTTTTTTTTTTATAAAATAACTAAATTTAGGAAAATACCTGACTACCAAATACCGCGCTCGGCTGGGTTCTTTGTCGTCTGAATAGCTCCATATTTTTATTTGTTCAAAAACACACTTTATTTTTCGAATTAAATACTAATATAAATACTCTCTTAATGTCGCCTTCAAACAAATCAAATCGATTTATCTAAGTTCATTAACCTTTTTTTCAAATTATTATTAATAAAACCGTTAATAAACTTAAATTAAAATATATTTAAGCATATTTAATTTAATCAGTTTTTCAAGCAAAACTATAGTGAGACTAACTTCGAAAAATAATTATTTACTATTTATTTTGGAGGGGAATTTAGAGTATTTTTTAAGTAAATAAAGATTACATTAGTGATTATTTTCTTTTTAACGAAAGTGAAAGAAGCAAACATTTTTTCCGTAAATGAATTTAATTATTATTTTGAAAGAGAGTAAGATACATTGAGAATTTAGTTTTGAAAATTGTTTATGTTTAAAATTCAAGTTGCATTTGTATTTGAAAAGAAAAAAAAAACTTTAGTTAAATAAAAATTAGAAGAGACAGACATGAGTTATGGTCAACATTTGTCGTGTTGAATATTTGATTTACGAATTTAACTATATTGTACTTAAATTAATTTTAGAAAAAATAAGGCTCGCTATAGTTATTTGCTTTAATAAAACTTAATTCAAAATTATTTACTTTTTTATGTTAGTTACAAATAAAAAACAATGAAGTTTATTTTTTAAAGATTGAATAAAAAGATTATTTTCTATAAGATGGCCGAAAAAATATTAATAAAATTAAATTTCTTCTTTTAAATTTACTTTGTTGTTTTAATTTTTTACTTTTACTTTTTAATTCTGAGAATTTCGAATGCATTCTAATGTAATTACGTATTTTTATTTTTAAAACATCATCGCAAATACAAACCATACGATGATAATTTTCTTACAAAAAAGTTGGGTTGGATGATACTGAGTTTGTATATATATTTACTTTATCGTATTTATTGCAGTATTTTTTTTAGTTTTAGCCGACCGGGAACACACACACACACACACACACACACACACACACACACACACACACACACACACACACACACACACAACTGTTCTTTATATATGTATAAATATTTTGGCAGCATTGAATAATCTTGACATATTATGTCTATTTATTTTGATGTTAGTCCTCTCAAATTTAAGGATCTATTTCTTAGTGCTGTTATAAAACTGTAGAGGAAGACGCCGTAGTTTTGATTTTTTTCTTTTATTTTCTCAAGTACTTTCAAACTCATCCAAGATCATCTTTAGGGGTGAATTGCTAAAACAAAAATTAATTTAATTGACAGTTTTTTGTAAATGCGCATGAAACGGGCACTGTTATAGTCAATTTGCGTTAGGGATATGTAAGGGAGGTAACTTAGTTTAGTTTTTTTTATATATGTCAGTGACTCGAGTATTTACCCAGCTAATTCTTACGTATTGATTTATAAGAACTCTTATTCTGATCTTAGTTTTTACGGTTAGAACATTTCATCCGCTGTGTAATATGGTCATTATTCAAACGTCTGTCACTTAATCATGACTTAAAACTCATGACTTGAAATAACCTAAAGCATTAGCACTAAACCAAAGGACGGGCAAGATAGGTCGAAAGAGATGATCAGGACGCAGCTTGAGGCATAAAATTGACGATTACCATAGCGTGTTAATTCCTTTGACCATTATCTATCTATCTATCTATCTATCTAGCTAGCTAGCTCTTTGCTATAAATTTTATTTTAGTTGGTACATGTATTTTAATAGATATAACTGTTTATTTACAAACAGTGAAAGTAACGTCTACCGGCCTAGATAATCGAAAATGTTACTAAAGAAAATATCCCTATAGACTGGGATTGAACCTGCATTCATTAATTGCGCAGTTTGGATATAAAGAGGGATGTTTACACAAGCACATATAGCAGGTTTAAAATAACTTTTATAGCAATAATTAATATTATTGGATTAAGAACTAAAAAAAAAAAAATGATTGTCTAATTTACATTTACTTTTCGGGCGTGAAAATATAAGTTAACAGATTTAGGACCCGAAACATCTCAATGCGAAGTGCACATTCCTTAAAAAAGGTAACTGAATCTTACCACGCTGTAAGGATCTCTGTGATGCAATTGCAAGGAACGCTTGGTTTCCCAGAAAATGGAATGCACATTGAATTTCTTTCGAGGGTTACTTTTCTTTAATAACCCATGCTCTCTTTTTTCTGTATCTTCTATTACAAGAATATTGAAATTTTCTGGGTCAAAATATTAAAAATATTAAGACATGACCAAATTTGTGAGAAACAAAGAAAAGAGTGCTAAACTTGCATGTAATACCAATCCACCTATGTTGGAGTGAATGCTGGGTAATCTTCACAAAGATGAAGAAGAGACTTGGGGAAACAGAAATATTGTTCTACAGAAGGATAATGAGAGTACCATGGATAGAACGAGTAAGTAACAAGGGAGTTTTTCAGGAAAGGGGAAACAAAATGGAGTTTTGTAATTACAACCAGAAAAGGACAGGTGAAATTTCAGGACACCTACTCAGAAATTGAAAGATACGTTAGTATGTGATATAATGGAATATGCATACACCTGACTGGAATATGATTGGCTGGTGTCCGTCATAAATACAGACGGACGTGTAGGTACGACAGAGTTTAAGTCTATGACGACGCCCATTGAACTACGCCATTGGCTATCCTATTGGTCTACGCCTATTACCTGCGACTACGACGAGTACCAGTCGATTACTACTACCGTTTACTGCTTGGTTGTAGTAGCCAAAACCACTTAGCTACTTCGATCAAATATATTCCTTACCGGGACATATCAGTATGAAAATGTAATTTGGAAAATTCATTCGTTTTCGAACAAAATAAAGGGGAGGGTGATGGAGTGAAGGTGAGAATGGAATAAAGAGAAATATTGGAAATAAATTATAAAATATACTGAAATAAAAGTGGGGTCTACAATAACAATGAGTAGGTTATAAAAGGTCAAAATTTAAATAGCCAACAACGCCCTTCTCTTCCAGAAGTGAAAGTACTGAGGACAGAATGCTTGGAGAAAGGAACAAGACTGATCAAAGACAAAATGGACGGACGAAAATATGTTGAACGAGGTTCTAAAAATTAATGTTAGAAAGGCTATTGGGAATAATTAGAAGAGGACACATATTGCTTAAAAATAACAGAAAATAAAGCTATGGAGAGCCATGATCGCTCTTGTTTTGCAAGAACATCATATTGAAGATGATTTAGCAACAGTAGCTAATTATGAATATAATGAAGGCTTTCTCTGTACAAAGCACACCAACAACTGCTTGCTAATCAATGCTGTTGCATTTTCTCTCTGTCTCTCCATGAAAACTTATTAATGCCATAGCCTTGCAAGAAGGATGGAAGCGATACGATTCACAGAAAGTTCCGTCGACTGTAAAAGGATCAGTAAGATAGAAATATATTCGCCAGACCGTTATCTTATCGGCAAACATCGCCCGTTGTTCGCCATCCAAGCATTGCCTTTTATCCGTTTCTTTTTTTCTTTGAATATTTTTCTATCTTCTGTTTCATTTTGTTCATTGTTTCCTTTTTTGTACATCATTTATTGCATTGTCTTCTGTGACTGCTGCTTTTTTTTTTTATTTCTGTTCTAACATTTTTTTTTTTTCTGTAATAAATCTGTTTACGACACTGCAGCTTTCGGTGCCGTTAATGGAAGAAAAACGTTTGTTTTGACTGCAAAGGTTTCCACCTACACTGAAAACGCACACTCTCTCTCTCTCTCTCACACAAACGCACACACACGCAGAGGTATGTGTATATGAACGTCATCGTCTGTGTTTGTCTATGACTTGTATATTTCGTTTTTTTATATGACTTTTCTCCCGTCCCTCCTTCTTTTTTGTGTATACTTATATTATGTAATGAATGATGTGTGAGAGCAAAAAGATAGTGTGGAGTCAAATAGGGAGTGGAAAGAAAGAGAGTCAAAGAAAGGCAGAGAATGGTAAGAAGTATGAGAAATGGACAGAAGGTGAGAGAGAGAAGAATAAAGAGAAATATTGAGAGAGAGAGAGAGAGAGAGAGAGAGAGAGAGAGAGAGAAGAATAAGAGCAAAAATAAAAAGTTAGTGTTAATACAAATAGAACGAAATCCCGAGAAATAGAAGAAAAAAATTAAAAATAAAACAAGGTAAAAGAGTTAGAGAGAAAAGAGTAAGACAGAAAGAGGGAGAGAGAGAGAGAGAGAGAAATAGAAAGAGAGAAATAGAAAGAGAGAAATAAAGAAAAGTGAGGAAAAAAGAAAAATTAGAGCATACAGAGAGAGAGAGAGAGAGAGAGAGAGAGAGAGAGAGAGAGAGAGAGAGAGAGAGTATCCCTGAAGTAGGATACGTAAAAAAAGAATCAGAAAGTAAAGAAAAAGAGAAAGCGAACGAAAGACGGAGATAGAGAAAAGAGAAAGACTAAAAGAGTGAGGGCGAACAGGAGGAGACAAAAGAAATAAGACGAGAGAGAAAGAATTCCTGATTAAAGAGAAGATACAGTAAAAGAAGATACAGAAGTAAGAAAAAGAAAGATAAAAAGAGTCTGAGAAAAAGAGATAGTTAAATAGAATGAGAGAGAAAGAGACAGAGAAAGAGAGAGAGAGTGGAATAGAGAGAGAGAGAGAGTGGAATAGAGAGAGAGTGAAGAGATAGAGAAACATAATAGAAAGTTAGAGGTGACAGAAAGAGAAAAGAAATCTGACCATAAAGAGGATACAAAAAAAAAGAAAAAGAAAAAGAAAGAAAATATGGTAGAAAGAGATAAAGTAAACGAAAAAGAAAAAGAGATAAAGGACAAAGACGAAAAGTTAGTGAAGAGAAAGAGAAAAAGTGATCAACAGATAAAAAAAAAGAAAAAATACAACAAACAGTAATAAGACAATGGAAGGAAAAAGAAGACAGAAATACATACATACATATATATATATATAAATATATATATATATATATATATATATATATATATATATATAGATATATAGATATATGTAAAATGTGTATATATATATATATGTGTGTGTGTGCGTGTGAAATGTGTATATATATACATATATATATATATATATATATATATATATATATATATATATATATATATATATATATATATATACATTTATTATATATATTATTAATATATTATATATGCACGTTACTTATTGAATACGCGCAAACTCACATCAGTCCAACTATATATATATATATATATATATATATATATATATATAGAGAGAGAGAGAGAGAGAGAGAGACAGACAGAGACAGACAGAGACAGAGATTGAAAGAAAGCAATAGGTAAAATCGAGTAACAAACAATTTATATATATTTATATATATATATATATATATATATATATATATATATATATATATATACAAAAGTGAAAGTGAGAGGCAAGTGAAAGAATCTGAAACGAAGAAACAACAAACACATCCAATATTTGTACTTTGAACAGAGATCATTGTTCAAACAATCGGAAAGACGATCGGAGCAAAAGTCTAACAAGTCACAATTGTTGTTTGCTCGCAGTATTTTGACGTATGAGAAACTGAACAAACCATTTATCGGTTGCTCTCGACGTTCATTGCATGCAAGAAAATCAGTCAAATAGACTATGCTAAAGTGGTACAAACTACAATAACATCAACAACCACCACAACAACAACAATAATAATAATAACAACAATAATCTTAATAATAATAATAATGGATCCTTAAGGCTTTGGAAATTTACTTTTTTATCTTTTTTTATTTTTTATTCATTAAATTTTAAGTATTATTATTATTATTTTTAATTTTTAATTAATATTATTACTTTTTTATTTCTTAAAAAAAGATTATTACACCATTGGTCAAAATGTGTGTGTAATTTATATATATTCATATATGCGCGGTAATTAATGGAAAGTTCTGAATTTCAGTGATAAAGTGAACATATTCAGTTGTATGAATACGAGTTCGTAACCCTGGGTTTCAAGCTATATAAATCTATATTAATATATATATTAAATATTCCTCCGTTAAATTATCTATCTATCTATCTATCTATCTATCTATCTATCTATCTATCTATCTATCTATCATAAGGTGGAAATTATGCCCGATTGATGATTATCACATGAAACTTAGTAGCATATTTCGGTATTATTGAAACAATAATATTATTCTATTATACTTTGTCGATTTGGAGTCCTCGGTTTATTTTATATTATAAGATTTTAGTTTATTTTGAGCTTAGGTTTTATTCTTTATATATATATATATATATATATATATATATATATATATATATATATATATATATATAGAGAGAGAGAGAGAGAGAGAGAGAGAAAGAGTTGAAATAGGTCTATACCCCATATGAGGTTATTTGGGATTTTAAGGTTTACTACTATTTATTTGTTTTTTATAATAAATACATTGTGGATCAGTTTTAATATTTTATTTTACTAGGATCCACTTGGGTATATACCAACGGATTTATTACCGTTACTATATATATATATATATATATATATATATATATATATATATATATATATATATATATGCATGTTTCATTAAATAATATCTCTCGTGTGGTCATGTGTGACGTCACGAACTGCGACGCGATTTTCACTTCCGCGTCCCGTATAAACGAGTTTGTTGTTACTTTGTAATTTTCAAGCAGCAAGGGCGGACTATTATTATGGTTTCGTCTGTGTGTTGTTTGATTTATTGAAATTGTCATCTTTGATAATGACTTATGTGAGCCGAAAGCTTAAATTAGATTTAAACATGTATCAATATGGTGATTTCCTTTCGTCTTTCAAGCTTATCAGACAATATGAAAGAAACTTACTTAAAATAAATAGATAAAACTATGTCCATATTATTTAATGAAACCTGCATTAATGAAAAATTGCTACCTTATATATATATATATATATATATATATATATATATATATATATATATATATATATATGATAGAAATTGTTAGGAGGATTTGATAATTATAATTACGTAATTCATCGAGTTTGAAAGAAACCATAACAGAATGCAGAAATCACTGAACGGCCGTTTCGTACTATATGGCGAAAAAGAAAATCTCAGTTGAATTCCACCACGGAATATGTGAGCGAGCGGCGCTATATTGAGTCTGATTTGTTAACACTCCGTCACCGAGGCCCATTAGAACAGTTGGTATGACGTTTGCTTGACAACCTAACTGTCAGGATTTCAATTCTCGTTAGTGGATGCGCACTGAGTCCCAAATATAGGACAAAACGGCCGTCCAGTGCTTTCTACTTTCTGTTGAGTTTTCTTTCAGACTCGATGAATTACTTATATATATGTAAAAGTGGAGACTGATATCAACACCGTGCGGCAACAGTCTGTTTCTAGCTGTTTTTCAAACTTTGGGCATTTTACATACGCTCTATCCCTCATATTGAGTAATTTTACCCATAAATATAGCATACCATAAACTATATATATATATATATATATATATATATATATATATATATATATATCGTTGTGAACCAATCATATTTGTCTTGTGAGCATGATGCATTTTTGGAGCGTTTCTGATATCAAGTGTCGATACTAAACCAATTATGAAGGAATTTTGCCGCTAACCATTCACGCCTGTATAGCAGGCTCAGGAAAATGAACTGATTGTCACTTCTCAGATCTACTTTGCATCGCCTATGTTTACATTCTCTTTCTTCGTCCAGAAAATTCCGGACTCCACTTTTAGTTAATTTTGTCCACATATCTTTTTATTATTATTATTATTATTATTATTATTATTATTATTCCATCCGACACCATCCCTTATTTCTACGCTTCTCATTTTCTGTCCCTGTTTCATTCGAGTAAACGTATGTTGTCCTCTCCTCCTGCGGTGCTGTTACCTTCCGCCTGTGATTGGATTATGCCTTTGCAAGCATATCCCATGATTCAACTCGACAATCATGGCCGACACAAAGTAAATGTTAGCATAAATGGATTTACGCAAGCTTGTTTGGTAATGACATCCATCTGCCTGAACTTAGTCATCTTGATCTTCCTGCTCTTTCAGGTCTTCGTCAATCATTGCAGGAAAAGGAAGATGATGATGATGATAAAACAAAATAACATCCGCTGCTCTGCTTACAAAAGATGGCAAACATGTCTCCAGTCCGTAGTTGGAGAAACACAGGTGCAATAGATTTTTTCTTTTAGCGTATCTATACCATTAAATTACTTTGGCTACGGACTTTTCACAGATTACATAAATAACAGAATTGTTCTATAATGTTTTCGTCATTGGAATTATCTTACTAGTAGGAACTATAGTAGAATAAAATAGATTAAACTCTGTCGTCTTTTCATTACTTCTACCATCTTGGCAGGTGGTTTAGATATTTGAGTGATCATTTATCTTCTTTTTCCTTATCATTTATGCTAACATGCGAAACAACGAGATAATATTTTGATATCTGGCGAGTGAAGAACAAATGAAATTGGATTCCTGCCTTTCTGAACAAAAACTGAATCCATTATACATAGCTTAAAATAGAGAAAATACCAAAATAGAATGGGGCTTAATTTGGCGCCATTGGAAAGTTTGTTTTATTCTGAGTAATATATAAAAAATTCTCCCCAAAATCCGACTTGTTAATTTTTTAAGATGTATTTTTGTCCAATTTTTTTGCTTATTTTATTTCTTTTCGTGATTTCTTCGCCCAATACAAGGCTCAGGAGCCCCTCCTGTTAGAGGCTACTTAATGAGGCGTGTGATATAAATGTAAGAGGGTAGCAGAAAACAGTGAAGATACGAGTAATGGGGGTTAACCATTGAGATTAGGGAATGGAGCTAATCTGATCATTTTCCATGCAAATAGCGATAGAATATTAATAAGCTTGCGTCTTTAGGAAAAGAGGCTGAATAGTGGCGAATAAGTCACCCCCCCGCCATCTACAAGCAATTTGTCGTAGAAACGTTATAATATAATGAAAGCGCCAAAGGAGGAATCGTCTCTTCCATTTAACAACATGAAGAACGACGCAGCAGCAAATAACTTGAAAATTGAAAAAAAAAAAAAAATAAATAAAAAAAAATGTCAGAACAGCGAAGAAAATCCTTGTTGGACTGCTTAACCCAATCATGTGGCCTTTGTAGATTTTACTGTTCAGTGAGAACGATATGCAATCATGTGCCTGTGGAATTTCATTCTTGTGAAATTACAGGCGATTCTAACAAGAACCTTTCATCCGAAATACAAATCTCTGTAAAGAACTGACCGAAGACGTACGTTTACAAGCGATATGTTTCGGCTATGCTGTATTTTAGAAAGCACGGCTTTAATATTTTACTGGCACAGCATAACCATCGAGTTTAAATAAGCTTTCTAACGATACAAAATTTAGCTTGCTTTACTGTAAAGGCTTCTCATAGCTTAATGGTAAATGACACGTCTGCCTTGAAGGCGGTTTCCCAGCTATTAAAAGTTGGAACGCGCAATTATTTCTCTCTACTAGACTATTGGTGAGACGTATTTTTCTATTGCTATTGTTCACCAAATAAGAAACCCAAGAACCACTCAAAGTAGAGAGTTACTAAATATAGCAGTTGTAATGGCGGAAAAAAGAGAGTAAGAGGTGCATGTTATGAGGATATGTAGGATAGAT